ACCTAATCCCTTTGGCTGATTGCTCTTCTCTCTGGCTTCCTGGCTTTTAATCCCCTTTCTCCTGCTCTTCTGGCCTGCTGCTTTGGGCATCCCTGAGTTGTCTCTCCTCACCTGTATCCCTGGGGCTGACTGCTCTTCTGTCCGGTTTCCTGGCTTTGTGTGTGTGTGTGTGTAGTATGTTATGCCAATTGAGCTTGATGTCCCCTGTGACTGTGGTCCTGAGCTCACAGGTCCAACTGCTCACTTCCTCTGGGTAGCTGGTTGTGGCCAAGAAGTGACTACAATCTTGTCCATTGTCAGCTCTGCTATATAACTGAGAATTCTTACAGAATAGACAAATACACTTGTGGAAATATTGTATATCAGCCATACATGGCCACGGGCACACTCCCCCCTGCATAGACTTACCTGATCATGCAGCCTGTCCACCCATCTATCCACCCATATAACAGTGTTTGCCATCACTGACAATGCAAACTGTATGTGCAAAAGTGTTCATCTTTGTTGTCTGTGGTCTCCCATGTACCTCTCTATGCCAATCATGATTTTTAAAAAACTCACTTACCTATTGACGAATATTTGAATTATTTCCAGTTTTGAACTATTATGAATAAAGTTGCTACAAACATTTTTAGACAATCTTTTTTTTTTTTTTTCAATTATTGTGCTTTAGGTGCAAGTTTACAGAGCAGAGTTTGTTTTACATTCAGCATTACGTGTAAATTTAGTTTCATTCCCATTTACCATCCTCAACCCTAACCCAGTCTCCTCTCCTCCCTGCCCAGTAACCCTCCCCTCCCCTGTGGCCCTCATGTGATGCACTCCTGTGTGTCCTGCATTTCCTCAATGTCAGTGTTGCCCCTCTGGTGCCCCATGGTTGATTGCTCCAAGGGATGTTCCATAGAGTATGTGGGTGTGTCACCCTAGATTGAATAGTCTGCATGTACATCTTGTTTATTATTGGGATGAGAGCCAGCCCCTGGGAATGAGTTTTATTCCAGGCCCAGAGTGTATCCCAAGGCCATAGTATTGGGGGTCTCACCAGACTTATCCAACCAGTATTTCTGGTCTTTATGTAGTTTTTGGATTTCGTTCCACATTTTTCCGCCCACTCTCTCCAGGATCTCCAGATTTGATCCTTTCATTAGTGGTTGGCATTGGTAGTTGGGCACCATCTAGATCTTCTGGTCTTGAGACAATCTTTTACTTGTTTTTGATAAATGTTCTGTTTTTATTTCACATGGGCAAATACCTAGGAATAGAATTGTTGAGTCACAAGATAATGAACTGCCAAATTTTTCCCAAACTGATTGTTCCATTTTAAAGTCTTTTGCATTTCTCCAAAGAACAATGGTGATGAGCACTTGTGCTTTGTGTCATGTATATATTTTCTTCATGGTATTTTCAATTACCTCATATGCAACAGTGGCCCAGATATAACAAGGATTGGGCAATGTTCCATTCTGTTGTACACAGGGTCACTATGAGTTGGACCCAATTCGACGGCCCCTAACAACATAAGAATGCAAAAGCTGAAGAACAACTAAGGATAACTGCAGAAGAATTGATGCATCTGAATTATGGTGTTGGAGAACAATATTGAATTTATCCATGAAATATTGAATACATTCATGACGTATTGAGTATATGCATGAAATCCTTTTAGAATTTCATAGACTTCCAGAGGAATAAACAAATCTGTCTTAGAAGAAGTATAACTGGAATGCTCCTTTGAAGGAAGGGTGGTGAAACTTCATCTTATGTACTTTGGATATGTTTTCAGGAGGGATCAGAAGAAAGACATGATATTTGGTAAAGTAGAAGATCAGAAAATTAGTGGAAGGCCCTCAATGGGATGGATTGACTCAGGGGCTGCAGCAATGGGCTCAAACACAGCAACCATTGTGAGGATGGTACAGAACCAGGCAGTGTCCTGTTCTGTGGTGCGCATAGTCCCTGTGAGTCAGAACTCAGTTGACGGCACCTGACAGCAACCATGACATGTGTGCTTCCATAAAATGTCTGTTCAAGTCATCTTATTCTATTGAGGAGACATTTGTCATCTTGTTGGCATAGAAAAATTTTCTTACAGTTTGAAGAAAAAAGTCTTTTCTCAAATATAGACTTGAAAAACAAAGTAGATACTTTTAAGTATAGATAAATATACATTTCCAAAACATGTTCACTGTCTTAAAGACTTCTTTGGAAGAAAAGAAGTTGTCAGGTGTTGGTAACTATCTCTGGGTAATTATGGCAGGTGCAAAGTGACCCAGGGGAGTGAGACCTGATAAAGGGAAAGTTGAGATGTGGCCTTAATCAGCTGCTCAAGAAAGGGAACCAGCCTCCAGCCAGGACCATATATTGAGTTAAGATAGTGGTTTCAGAAAGTAAATTACTACTAGACCCCTAGTCACTGGAGGGATCAAAGATCACATGCTCAGACCCACCCCTCTGTGGTATAGTCACTAGGACAGTGAGGACTGCCTCAGTGCACTCCCACACACACTGTGTGGGGCCCCTGAGACAGGGTCATAAGCAAGAGCCATTAATCTGTGAGACACCAATGCCAGAGGGGCTGTGTCAAAAGGAACTCAGGTCACCTGGAAGAGACAAGACATTACTAGGTGCACATAGAGTTCACAGTAGGGTTAGATCGCAGTAGGCCGAGACATAGCCTCTCACTGTCCAAGGGGTCTTACTCCTGGTGGAAGAGGATGGAAGACCCAGGGAAGGGTACATTCAGCTGGCTGGGACTGAGCATTGGAGTGTGGATCTGGACAGAGACCTGGGGAGGTGTGGGAATTGAGGTACAGGTACCCATGGGCTGTGCTTCTTTCTATTAGAGTTGGGGTAGTGGCAGGAGGGAACAGATAAGGAAAAACTGGCTCAAGAAAGTCCTGGGGAAAGTTATAGGGGACAAGGGCCCATGAGGAGCCACACACACTGGGCAGTTTGCAGCCAAAGTTCTGTTCAGCTCACCCACGTGTCCTGGGGCCCAGTCAGTGCTGGGGCACTTGTGACAAGTCCAAGCAAAAAGCCACCTGCTAAACCTTCACCCATGACTTGGGTCATCTCTGCCTGGCATACAAAGTAGGGGACTATAGTGGCAAGAGACACTTACTTAGGCTGTCAGCTCACCTTTGACAGAAGGGGAGCAGCTTGCCCAGGGCACGGTGAACATCCTTGTTCCTGAGGGAGTAGATCAGTGGGTTCAGGGTGGGACTCAGCACAGTGTACATCACCCCAGCCGCTTTGCTCCTCTCGGGGCTGTAGCTGGAAGCGGGGCTGATGTAGGCACAGGACACGGCCGAGTAGTACACAGAGACCACAATGAGGTGGGAGGAGCAGGTGGTGAAGGCACGGCGCTTGCCCTCCCGAGAGCGGATGCGCAGGATGCTGGCCACGATGCAGACATAGGAGGCCAGAGTCAGCATGAAGTTGGTGAAGCCATAGAACCCGTCGGCCAGGAGAGTCATGATGCTGTTCAGTCGTGTGGGGCTGCAGGAGAGCAGCAGCAGTGGGGGGATCTCACAGAAGAAGTGCTCGATGACACGGGGCCCGCAGAAGGTCAGCATGGCAGTCAAACCTGTGTTGAGTGAGGCACTCAGGGCACAGATCCCCCACACACTCCCAGCCAGTGCCATGCACACCCCTGGGCTCATGATGGCACCATAGTGCAGTGGGCGGCAGATGGCCACATAGCGGTCAAAGGCCATGACTGAGAGCAGCAGTAGCTCGGAGGACCCAGACCAGATGAGGAAGAAGAGCTGGGCCATGCAGC